GCCTGGCTGTGGAATTCTGGGAGTTGAAGTCCACAAGTCTAAAAAAAATTGTGTCAGTGCCTCACCAGCCATAAACCTCACCGCACGTCACTGAATATTACAATATCTGCAGTTTTATCTTCCCCCAAAAACCCATCGTTCCTGTAAAGTAGCAGTATAAATAGGAAGCTTTTAGAAAATAAAAATAGAGACTGGCTTTCATAGCTCAAGCAGAAGTTATTATGTAAGATCCTCTATAAGGGAAAGACTGTTCTTTAGCAAGTGTAGGAGAGCAGTGGCAAGAAAGGATCATGAGCAGATAGAGCACCTTGTTTTTCTGAAAAAGGAAGAAATGGTATACAGGAAATCCTCAATTTACAACCAGGGTTGGGATTGCCCAAACTGGTTCGAACTAGATGCTAATTTTACACCTGGTTCGCCGGATTAGTAGTTGCAAGGATTGTCTGGCCCTGCCCACCCCGCCCTGCCCAGGAGTCTCCATGCGGTCCATTTTGGATGCCAGGTAAGTGCAGGGCCTGCGTGGAGGATCTGGGAGGGTGAAAAATAGGTTTCCCTGGAGTTCGGAAATGGGCCTGTTTCTGGCCTCCGGAGTGCCTCTGGAGCCCGGGGAGGCTGTTTTCACCCTTCCAGAGGCTCAAGGAAAGCTTCCAGAGCCTGGAGAGGGTGAACCCCCCCCCACCTCCATGGTGCACGCCCACCATGGCCATGCCCACCCAGCAACCGGGCAGAGAATCAGTTGCTAAAAATTTTGAATCCCATCCCTGCTTACAACCATTTGTTTAGTGACTGTTCAAAGGCACTGAAAAAAGTGACTTATGATGAATATTCACTCTCATGATGATTGCAGCATTCCTATGGTCACATGATCAAACTTTGGATGTTTGTCCTGGGTCATGTGATCACCTTTTGAGACCTTCTGACAAGCAAACTAATGAGTAAGCCAATTCACTTAATATTATAACCGTTTTACTTAGCAACAGAAATTTTGGACTCAATTGTGATTGTAAGCTGAGGGCTATCTGTGCAGTATGGAGTCAGGCAATATTCTAGCAGTGGAGAAAAAGTGGAACAAATTGCAATTTCACAGTTTCAGATCAGATTCACACAAATTTATGAAAATCCTTGCCACTGGCCCAGTTTTAAATTACTAACCAGAGCAGTGTACATATAATAGCACCTTGCCTGGCAGTGTGGGAGGTGAGGTTTGTTTCAAGGTAGCCTCGTGTAGTCATTATAAGTGCTTAGTGCTACCTGGTAACAAACAGGGTTTTTTTCCAGTGAATTAAGGAGTTGCTGCTGATTTCAAATATGTGCAAATAGTGATAGCTTCTTTGGGCAAAAGATTCTATTCTGCAACACAATGTATTTTTGGAAATAAACAAAATCTGTGGTATATAATGTTTGAAATTATCTGTAGATTATTGTATTAACATGTTAGGATACAATTTGAAAAACAGAATGTAATATGAGCCAAGGTGGCGCAGTGGTTAAATGCAGCACTGCAGGCTACTGCTAGATCAGCAGGTCAGCGGTTCAAATCTCACCGGCTCAGGGTTNTATTTGTTTTGTATATAATCAATCCATTTTTTCCAGTCTCATAGGAAAGTCATAGGAAAAAAAAATCTATTTCACGGATAGAAAAATACGTTTGTGTGTGTAGAATCTTAAACCCCTAGAAAAATCTTCTAATTTATTAAAAGAACTATATTTACATTAAGATAGGCAAAGTGATAAATTATTAGTACTGAATTCAGTCTGTGAATATTTATATATTTCAAATCACAGATTTTGGCCTCCAAAGAATTAAAAAGGAAATAAGGCAAAATTTCATTATTTTACTGATTCCTGCCACCCATCAGTTCAATCAAGTATCATTTCAGAAAAGTATCACATTTTAAACACTTATCGTAAGTGCAGTTTCACAGGTGACTATTGTATTACAGTATGTATTTGGCAAGACAGTTTTGCTGAAACCTTAGAAGTTTAAGAATGTACAGAAGTCCTCATGTTTTCTTTTACCTGAAAAGATTAATAGTCTCTTTTTTAAAAAAATCTGAAATTTTGTTGGGCTATCTGGGAATCTGAGCTTTCTTAACTCTGGAGTTTGGACAGATGTATTTTAAAGTGCATTAATTAGGAATCTTTGGATAATTTAAAATACATTGTGGTAATGTTCTTTTATTTTTTATTATTAAACTTATATGTCACATGTTCCCTGAGAAAACTTTAGTTATCTTATAATCATTCAATTAAAATGCAATATAAAACATTAAAACAATAAGTAGGGACCTTAAATTTAAAATTCAGTTAAAATAAAGTTAACCAGTGTGGAGAGGGAAGGAGCAAAGTGGGCATGGGGAGGAGATGGGTAATATACCTAATTCATTAGCCACTTCCAAAATTGCACACCACCATTCGGGCTCCAGGCCAGTTGGCACAGCTATGTCTTCAAGGCCTTTCAGAAGGCCAAAAGGGTGAGTGTGAATCTCACCTCAGGGTGCATGATGTTCCATAGAGTAGCAGTCACGACAAAAAAAATGTTCTTCTTCTGGACCCTTCCACAAAAAAAATCCTTCATTGATAGGGCTCACAGTATCCCTTCTGCTAGTACAGAAGGGTGGGCTAATCCCACCAGTGTGAGCCAGTTTCTCAGGTAGCCTGGACTCATGCCATGAAGGGCTTTAAAAGTGATAACCAACGCTTCAAATTGGATTCAAAGCAAATTGGCAACCACTGCAGCTTGTGGATTAGCAGTGTAAAATGAACCACCTTAGGGCCCCCAAGAAGTGCTCATGCAGCTGTGTTCTGCACCAGCTGAAGGTCCCAAATATTTTTCAAGGGTAGCCCCATGTAGAGTGCATTTCCGCAATCTGAGTGTGAAATGATCAGGACTTGAATGATTGAGTGCAGAGACTCTCAGTCCAGCAAAGGGCACAACTTATATGCTACACAGAGTTTTGCAACAGGCCTCTTAGGCACAATTGCCAGCTGCTCATTGAGCAGGAGTCATGAGCCCAGGAGAACCACCAGATTGTGCATCAGGTTTGTCTGGGACAGTGCAACCTTATTGAGAATTAAAGATGTTAAAAGTCCCAGAACCAGAAGCTCCATGTCTTACAGGGTTTATTAATGCACGTGCAAGTTTTACTGTTATTTTTTTTAAATCAACAAACTTTTTCTGCTGACATTTGTTCACTTCACTCCACAGCCTACACATGAAATAAACCTTTCTAAAGAAACATCACTGCAGGAGGATTGAAAAAAAAGGTAAAGTGATATTTAAAAAGTCACAAACACATGCACAAAAATGTGGAAGAGATATTCAGCTATGAGAATTGTTATTTGCCTTTGTGCAATCTTCAAGTAACAAGTCTTTACCTCAGTTTGCAAGTTTTCACTATTATAAATTTTAAAAAAATGTACATATTCAGTGTGGGATTCAAGTAATTTAACCACCGGTTCTCTGCCCTAATGATTTCTTCCAACAACCAGTTTTCCAAACTGCTCAGAAAGTTAACAACCGGTTCACCTGAAGTGGTGTGAACTGGCTGAATCCCACCACTGTACATATTCCCTTACTATTTAAATGCTCAAACAAGTTATTATGACATGAAGTGTTTTGGGGGGTAAGGACAATATGAAAAAATGTACTTACTCACCTATCCATATCTTTCTTGCTTCTCTTGAATTTAACAGCAATTTAAGACTCATGTAATGCATTGTCAGCATTAAGTGAGGAAAACAGAAGGGGAAAAGGATTGGCATTTCAGGCCAGCATCAAACATCAATTGCACTCACCTGCCTGAAACAGCAGCAGTGTCACCAGCTGGCGTTCCATGTGGAGATCAACTCTGTATGACCCCACTCTGGCTGCAACACCTACAGTCTGTTTAGAGTAGACTCTCCCTGTATGTTCTGCTGTCAAATTGAGTGAAGCAATGGGTGTGTCTAAACAGTCTTACTGGATGCTCCTTTATAGTCTCCAAACTAAATATATGATTCTGTAAATTTCAAACACTTTCTAAAAGAGATCATTATTCAGAGGCTTATGGAAGGACAGTTCTCTGATGCCAGGGCTTCTATTTGCAGATTGTTCCTTTCATCAAGTCTTGTTAAAAGGGAATTTGATTGAATCTGCTGGACAGGTTGACATATTACAACCACAAACCTGGGGTTCTTTTGCTCGCAATCCACAACTGCACCATTTGTTTCACAGCTCTTAGTGTTAAAAGACTTAATTTCTGTGTAACATGTAATGGCAGCATTTAAGTTAAAGAACTATTAAAATAAAGATCTTTTGTTTTAATGCTTGAGATTTTAGCAAGCTGCTTAAAGTGAAAAAATGTAGTTCAAAATCTATTTTTAAATATTAATTCAAAATTACTGGCGTTCTCTATATGCCTAGGGGCTCCTTGAAACATCTGATTTTTGTTTGGGATTTTCCTTCCTCCATGATAGTCATTTTGTGAAAGAACAAGCTCTCTCCCACCATAGACATCATGAAGGTCCATATGAGTGAATGTTCCAGTCTCTCTCTCCTGCAACGAGGCTGACAATGTATTCTTCCTTGGAGCCAGCTATTTCTAATCCATGAGGTTTAATATTCTTCAGGAAGAATTATTAATTAATTTATTGTTTAAATGAGATGTATGGTATTGAATTGTTTCTTCAATTCTGCCAAAATGAAAAAAATCAGTATAATTTGGAGGAACAAAATATATATTCCAAGCATTGCACAGGTTTAAGGCAATCAATTCGCCCCTTAAAATCTTTTATTTTTTAACATTAAAAAACCCTAAAAAAGTAAGCACCACTCAGTTCAAGGGTGTTCTTGGAGCCCAAAGAGATCCCAGGATCCACATCCTGCTAACTCCTGTTCTGTTCTTCAACTTAATATTTGTTGCAATATAATCCATGTCACCATATTACTTTGAGAGTGCTTAGCTCTTTTTCTTATTTGGCCACAAATTAAAATTACCTTAAGTTTTTAAAGGTCCATTAGTGCCTTCTATTAATTACTAAGTAACCTTTCAGAGTATTTAAATATACTGTGAAATTTTGTTTTAGTTTAAATAATCTCCAAAAATCTTGGAATGATACCTTCTTAACCCTCCTTTTCAATGGAGGTTTACTTGTATTTCACTGCTAAGAGACATGTTGTTCTGAAGTCTCTGTACCAGTTGGCTACACTGACCATGATAACTTATACAGAATTGAATCTCAATATCAAATAGTAGACTTCAATAATGTGATTTTCCGTACTATGATTACAGGTATTTCAAAATTAAATCTCAAAGGGAGTGGATCATTCTATCTATCTAAATTTTAAAAGAAAAACTAACAGATAAATTTATCTCCTGCAATGGAGTGTATCATAATGTGTTTAAGATTATCACCTCAGAATTAATGGCTACATTTGATTTATTTTAGGTACAAACTGTACAATTGTCCAGAAATTGCAGTGATCTGGAATATAAAAATATCTATCCAGAAGTTATATATTTCTTGCTGTGAGCAAAAGTCACAAGGCAAAAAACAGTCAGTTTATCTAGTTCCACCTTAAACCTGAAAGCTGCTTGGATGATTGGACACTCACTCTCTCTCAGTCCAACCCACCTTGCAGGGTTGTTGTTGTGGAGAAAATAATAAAGATGGGATAAAAAAATCTAAAATAAAAAGCCACATTCAAGTGCAATATAAAACAACAAAGATAAGTTAGTAGGAAAACAACACCCAGTCTTCCATCTCTTTAGAGTAGCTAATTTAAACAATGACTTTGTATAAAATATAACAGTGAAGTTATATCTCAGTTACTCAACAAAGAGACACACTAATACATTAAGTATTACTAAGTACACATTTTCTCCAAGGCAGAAAGAAAATTGACTTAAACAGCTGTAAAAAACATACATCCTTGAATTAAAAAATCATTTTCTAAAATTGGGGTGGGGGGGAGTAAATTTACCCAGAAGCTCCAATCTGCATTCCAGTTGTCTGGAGATGTGAGCTGCATTTTCTCAGCGCAAACATTAAGATTCTCTTCTTTATCCACCAGTGTTTGACTGATGAGGCCATGACATGCTTCATGAAGGGCCTGGTGAACAAGGAATATAATTGGTATTTTAATGAGGTAAAGATAAAAATCTATAACGCCTAAATAAAATAAAGAGGATCAAAGAATAGTAACAAATCATTCCATCTTCCACATCATCCAATAAAACCGATGAAGCTTCCAGAATAGGAAGCGAAATGTCTTGTTTTTCCCCTCAAAAATCATCTAGTTGCCTTTTCAAAATAAAAACTTTTGATATAACTATGACCTTGATAACTGAGAATCTTCATAGACATTTTGATCAAAGAATAAGCATCCTTTTATCCCTTGGTTAGAGCATTTAATAAGTTTTTCAACTCTGGTTTAATACATTTTATTATTCTTTTATATAATCAACAATCTACTAAGTTCCGTTTTTTAATTGTTTTCTGCAATTGTTTATCTTCAATTTTATTTTTATTTTTTGGTACACATTGAAAGGTTTTGGTAGTTTATGGTGTTATCAGTTTAAAAGATGAAATAACCACCTGGAGAAATGTTTTATTTCTAGACTCCATGTTATTTTGGACAAGCCAAAGTTGAAAGGGTGTGTGGGCATATAATAGATTTACATCCCAAAGAAAGGAGAGCTTTTACATTTACTAGTGAAGTTTCCAAAACCTTTAGAATCAAGGAATTCTTCCCATTCCTCATCTGATAGATGACAGAAAATCTGCCCGTTTTAAGATATATGCCGTTTTCTTCCGTTTGTAATGCTCCACGCTCAGAAGGGAGGGGGTGAATGAGAGCCGAGGCCAAGGCCGACGGGACGAGGAAAGTTTTGGCGATCCTAGCCAGTGCCGGGAAAAGCGATCGAGAAGCAACTTTCTGCCTTTTTCTTTTAGGTCTCCGCCACTTTTTCAGCCACCGTCGCCGGGAGACGGAAAGGCAGCAGCGGGCAGGACAGACTTTCCATCTGGCATCCCCAAAGACCTTCAGTTGTTTTTATTGTAGGCTAAAGTTTCGAACCAGCTGCCCATAAAAAGATGGAGGGGGGAGAAGGGGGGAAATGCCGCGCCTCTTACCATGGAGAAGGATGCGAGCCGCAAGCGGACCCGAGCGCCATTCGCTCGCAACGCTTCCCTCCCCGCGGCTTAAAGGGCCAGCAGCACCCAAGCAAAGCGACCACGCATGAGCTCTCTGGGTCGAAGACCAGAGGGGAGCACAACTGCTCGGAAAATGGTCTGGAGAGAAGGTCCTGCGTGAGATGGGCGAATTTAATAAATATTGTCACTGAGACTGAGCAAACCGTAGAATTGAAATCAATCTGGAAGCTCCCCCTTTTTTATTTTGAAAAAGCAGGGAACATAGGTATACTTTTCTTATTCATACCCAGTTTTTGAAAAATATTGTTCAAATTTTTATGCGCACCGAACTGGCAGTAATGCTGGGAGCAACCCACTCCTGATCTAATAATGAACTCTTTTTTTGCATTTTATTGGGTTGTACAGCAATTTAAATTTTCCTTCACACTTCACTTAAGTATAGTTAACCAAACAATTGTTTACTCAAACCCATTTACCATCAGTTGTTGTATTTTTAGGGGAGATGGGTTGTTCTGCTCTGATAGTTTATGAACTATTTGGTTCCAGATGAAATCCATGTTTTTTTTCCCTGAGGATCTGCTGGCCCATTCAACTGAGACCTTAGTTTTGATCTGGAATGGGCAGCGGACAAAGATATGCCTATATTAGGGATTTCATTGTGGTGACAAGTCCAGAAAAACCTATTTTTCCATTTTCACTGTACTCATAGATATCCATCCAGCTATATTTTTACAGTGACTCATTCATTAGTATGGAGGGATGACACACAGGACTATCTTGTAGATATCTGTGAAGAATATCCTAGGTACCTGGTGAGTTAAATCATGTAAATTAAATTGGTTGCTGGTAAGCCGCTAGACAATTCATGATGTGATTAGCTCTACATGGCATTCATTAAGAAATGTTGTCTGATCAGTTCGCAGAAATGTACCTTTATTGTTGCAGTATCTACCCTCAAGAACTGGAATGGGTTGACCAGCCTCTACCTTTTTCTCCTACAAGCAAGCTTAAATATCAAAATTGGACTATGGATGGCTCCTTTGGGGAGGAGAGCGTGTGGCACATGTCATGGGTTGTTCTCTCTAGGTTAAGAGATTTGCTCCCTCAATGATTTTCATATATTGTTTCCATTGTTCTCTTCTCAGAAGTGCATAGAGTTGGACAGCTTGGACAGTTGGACAAATATGATTTATAAATACTTTCCCTGAAAACAAATTTAGCAGAGCATTTCAAAAACAACTTCCTTAATTAGTGTTAAGTACTAATTATTCATTGCTATAGTATATTCTTCATACAGAATCTTAAAATAGAAAACAGTAATTAAATACTGTATATATTTGTACTTGCAGTATTTTTCTGCCCTCATTTTGTTCTCATTCTTCAGGGGTTTTCCTTCCCCTTCTATGAATGCATTATGGCTAAAATATATTTATAAAAAAGCTGATATTCACAGTTTTATTTTAAAAAGTGTTGCCAGAAGTTTCTCGTGATAAGACTCCGTAAATTAATTGAATTTAATAAATATACATCTAGGCTTGGAATATTGGCACTTTTCAAAAGGAGAAAATAAGGTGATAAAAATGAACATTTCCTGTAAATAAAGAGCTTCTTTTACCTATTATATTGACATAAATTCCAGACTAACCATAGGTTCATATGCACTAATTCACATTTTCTGAATTTCTATGTGAGAGCTTCTGTGTGTTCAACTGATCATAGCAGCCCAGTATGTCGACTTTAAAATAAGCCATGTCTGCTAGTCATTTCTTTGAAAAGTGCTGTGACCTCCGCAAGAATGGCAAAAGCTACAAGTTTCCACAGGTGAGACAATAAGCTCAATAAGTGAGAAACAAGTGAATCAAGGACATAATAAAGTGGGATTTGCTGTATCTTAAGTAGCTCTCCTCAAACTGCGCGCTTCAAAAG